CACACACACACACACACACACACACACACACACACACACACACACACACACACACACACACACACATGTGCGCGCGCGCGCGGGTTGAACCCGCTGTTTATTTAGTTTTTTACTTTTTCTTTTTTGATTGACTGATTGATTGATTGATTGGTGGGGAAGGGGTCACCCCTCCCCCTTGCACATTCGCCAACACTCACACACACACATTAAAAAAAAAAAAATAAAAAAAAATCCCTCTCTTTAATTTCCGTTTCTTAACATTATTTTTTTTAAAAATTAAACGTTCTTTATTTTTTTAAAACACAAGAGCACTTCTTAATCCAAAACAAAAAATATTTGGTTGTAGGGATTTTCAAACCCTATTATCCCTATAACCCCATATATTTTTTATTTTTTTTTGTCTATTACTTTTTTTTGTTTAAATATGTGCAATTCTCAAGTTGCGCCCAACTACTGGGGTCATGGGCTGCGGTTGAGATCCCGACCGTTTTGACCCCGCAGTCATGAGCGCGGGGGTTTCATAGGTGCTGAGACAATGCTCTCCTTTGCTTATCCTAGAGACAGTCAAACTACTGATTGCACTTGCCGTTGGACGTCCTATGCCATGCACATTGGTTCAACGGATCCTCACTCTCATCCACCAAAAAGGGGCGAAAACTCAGGTACACAACAAACGCCCCATCACTCTCACTATGGCTCTCTATAAAGTTGTCTCAACGGTGCTAGCCAACCGCGTCCAAACTGTTTTGCCAAACCTCATTCATGATGATTAAACGGGTTTCCTGCAGGGCCAATAGATACTGGACACAATTATGGCAATAACTCAAGGCATGGAGTACATTAATAGGACAAAAGACCGGATCGATGACCGTGTCAACAAGGAGTTTTTCTTTTACCTCTCCACTGACTCAACTGTAGGCCAAAGTTTATCGCTTGCGTGCGCAACCTTTTCCTGGACGCCACCACTTGCTTGTACATTAACGGCAAGCTCTGTGAACCAATTACTCTGTCTAGGTCGGTATGACAGGGGTGCCCTCTTGCCCCATATTTGTACGTATTATACATTGAGGCATTGTATTGTATGATCCGCGCTGACCCCTACATCATTGGATTACGCTTTTCCTCAGCTCAACATGCAAAAGGACAGTCTTTTGCATATGGCACGTTGCTTTTTCTTATGCTCCAAGATTAAGTTTTTGATGCTCTCAAACACATTCTCCTCCTCTTTACAACAATCACTAAGACCAAAATCAACTGGCAAAAATCAGTCTAGTTGATGCCTTCTCACGACCTTCCCCCTGTTTACTGGGGCCTCCAAATAGGTGCCTCTGCGGATACTCAGTGCTTGTTGAAATATTATGTCAATTTTGACGGACATCTCGATGAACCCACTGACGGTGACTGACCAACTTACAACATCCATTAATGCAGTCTTCGCATCTTGGGTTAAGACCAAAGGTGTCGCCCTGTATGGATGAGTGCTTACCATCAACAACACTGCTTTTGCGAAACTCTGGTACGAACACTCTATCTGTGTATTGCAACCTTCTGTGCACAAACACCTCAAGAAAACAACTACAAACTATACATGGAAAAAAAAAGTTGCAAAACCTTCTTTCCTTTCTAAAGTAGCTTGGAACAAGATCATACAAAAAAAAAACAAAGGCGGTTTGGCAATACTAGATCTGAATTTGCAAACTCGGACCCTTCTCACCTAATTGTCGGTTAGACTACTCTTTGCTGACGAATCTGTCACTTGGAAAACTTTAGCTGAGTGTCTGTTGGCCTTCGATTCCGGACTTACTTCCAACCCAACCCTTGTCTATTTGGCGTTGTTCACATATGAGTACTGTCGGAAACAAGCATTGTCGCCCCTCTGGCGTGGTATACTTGGTGCCTGGAGGGCGATTCTTGCAAGTAGGAAAACCCCTGTTCTTCGATATCGACGATATGATCACCTGTTAACACAACCCATCTTTAATAACCTGTGTATATTGAGCTCTGATGGCGCTCCTTCCCCTCTACTTGGTACAGCAGCCTTCGGGTGTTTTGGGATGTCCCGAGGTGTCGCTATTCTCATGCACCTGTGAGACAAACATATATGTATTTGAAAAGACGAACTTCAGACCCCACCTTTGCTTCATGGACTACATGACTGAAGGACACGTTTAACGACTATTCAGCACGTTGTTCCGAGCACCTGGACCTCGGTCCTTGCTCAATGAATCTACCTACCAGGGGCTTGGTTTCGAGACAACACAAAATAACCCACCTTCCACGTGTGGCTACTTGAATCCCAACTAACAAATACTGACTGGGAACTGACAACATGGAACCTTCGCAGGGGGCAAAAGGGGTTGGGCACCGCCTTGCAGCGGTCCTCCGCTGCTTCCATTTCATTTGACCTCACCCGTATGACCGCGCCGCCACCACGGTGAGTGTCGAACTCCTCGAACACAATAAAGGTCGGAGTACCTCCTTTCATCCCAAGAGGATATATGCCACAACTCTAGATCCCAGGGATTGGTACTGGATTGAGTTTTGACAACCTGACCAGATGCTCTCTCTCAATCAACATTCTGCCCGTATGACCTATGCAAAAATCTTGCCCCACATTGATGTTGATTGGGGTGTCATGACTAAATGACGACTACTTGGGAGTCAACTCTCCCAAGTCAAACTCACTGTTTTTTAACGCTTACTACGCATCCTAACAGTAGCAAAGCATGCTTGCTAACTTTGGCTCATTATGCACAATGCCATGCCCACTACTGCTTTGTTGTATCATTGACGAAAGAAAGACTCTCATTTTGCAGAGTTTGCTCCATAGGACATTTGGTGGACGATCAACAAAACTTGTGGGTTACATTGAAATACGCTCGAGAAGTGTGGACAACACTTGATAACGATGCTCTCCTCCCTCATCATCACGGGGACCTATGGTCCAAGGATGTCAATCTTCTGGTAATATATTGTTGGTTTTTACAAAACCACATTGTCAAGCCTATGTATATGAAACCATCAGGACAACAATGTTGTGGCATCTATGTCGGCATCCTAATACTGTGGTCAGAAATGACGAACCTCCTTCGGTTCAACAAGTACTTCATCGAGTGAAGACTGACCTTCAGCACATCATCTCCTTGGATTGGGGCAAAAAGATTGGCCAAACACAAAAGTTGTGTGCTGGGGTCAAGTGGTTCCCCCGTCATTGGGCATGCAACCCCTCCTAAGGCTCCTTGACATCCATTGATGGTTGTACCCAAGATTTTGAATTCGGTTCTTTTCTATAGTAGATCAACTCTTTGACTATTTTTTTTTCCGACTTTCTTTAAATACCTACTTGCTAGATTAGGTATTGCAATTCCCTGTGGTTGTTTGTTAGCATTTGGTTTCTCTTTAACTTTTCATTGAGGCGAACTGTCACAGGGGAGGGGTTCCACCTCATGAAGTAGGTTGGTGATCTTACTTCCCCTGGATTTGGAACCTGTACCATTGTATTTTTGGCCTTGGGCACTGGGCCCTATTAAAAACTTAAAAGATGTCTCTTTGGGGGAAAAAAATAAAATACTCAACGAGGTGATAAGAGCTGCCTCGTTAAGTGGGCTCTAGCGTTGAAGGGTCCATCTATTGTTGGTGATTCCCTGGGGAGCAGCACCTGCTGGAAATCAGGTCCAACATCCTTATACAATGATATGATATGTGTAAGCTGGAAATTGGGTCCAGGCTCCGTCCAACATCCGAATTCAATGATTTGTGGTCCTTTGTGCAGATGTCATTAGAATGCATCCAATACTATGTGATTGTGTTCATTCGGTATGTTTATGTCATGTGAAGCCAAATCCGTCTTCCACCATATCTGCCATGTCTTTCTAAATAGCAGAGGCATTGATTACTTCCGAGCGAGAGGGAAGGATTGACCTCCTGCCATCAAACCCTAACCCTAACGAAAAGGATTCCCATCAACGACCACAACAAACAATCATCAAACATGCCAAAACACAGATCAGACACATGAAACCCGAAACAACCTACGTCCCACCTGAGGGGCAATCAACACCCCTCCTTTATTGAAATCAAGGGTCGGGCAACTCCAATCAACGAAGGTCTGTCGAAGGGGACATCGACTACCCTATTCCCATCCGCTGTCTTCTTCTTCTTCTTCTTCTTCCTCTTCTTCTTCTTCTTGTTCTTGTTCATGTTCTTCTTCTTCTTTTTCTTCTTCTTCTTCTTCTTCTTCTTCTTCTTCTTCTTCTTCTTCTTCTTCTTCTTCTTCTTCGGCTTCTTCTTCTCCTTCGCCTCCTCCTCATCCTCTTCAACTTCGTCTTCTTCCCTCTTATCTCCGACCTCCTTCGTCGCCATCCCACTCCCGATCCCCCAAGGTCCTCCTTCTCGCCCTCCCAAATCCCTCGTTCTCCGTATGGCCGCCACAAGGCAACTGCTGCGACGTCCCCTCCTCCCACACGCTTGGGCGTGTGTCTACGAATCCCCCTCGGCGGCGGCCATTCGCAGACAAGTTCGCAGCCGCGGACTAGGCCTCAACCCCGTGGATGTGTCCGCACGGCCGCGCGACTTTGCGGCCGCATGGCGGCCAGTGGGGAGGGGGGTTTGGAATTTGGGAAGCGCCATGGGGCGGCGCAACCCCAGCCCCACCCCCTCAAAAAAAAAAAATTATAATAATAATAATTTTTGGGGTGGAGGGGTTCGGGTGAGTGAAGGTATTTCAAAAAAAAATCAAAAAAAAAAAAACAGCGCTTTTTTTTT